AAAAAAAAAAAAAAAAAAAAAAAAAAAAAAAAAAAAAAAAAAAAAAAAAAAAAAAAAAAAAAAAAAAACCGAAAATAAATGTTTAAAATTTAAACTTTAACTTAAGAAGCTGAAACAGTGAATTAAATCTAAAGTAAGTAGAGAGGAGGAGATACTAAAAAGCAGAGCAGAAAACAATGAAATTAAGAATGAATAAAGAACGGAGAAAAATCAATGAAACCTGAAGCAAAACCACATAGCTCTCTCCTGTCTCCAGCACAGTGGCTCACGCCTGTAATCCCAGCACTTTGGGAGGCCAAGACAGGCGGATCACTTGAGGTCAGGCGTTCAGGCACAATGGCTCACGCCTGAAATCCCAGCACTTTGGGAGGCCAAGACAGGCGGATCACTTGAGGTCAGGAGCTCACCAACCTGGACAACACAGAGAAACCCCATCTCCACCAAAAAAAACAAAAATTTGCCGAGTGTGGTGGCGGGCGCCTGTAATGCCAACTACTTGGGAGGCTGAGGTGGAAGAATCACTTGAACCCAGGAGGCAGAGATAGTGCCACTGCACTCCAGCCTGGGCAACAGAGCAAGACTCCATCTCAAAAAGAAAAGAAAAAAAGCCAGGCACAGTGGCTCACACCTGAAATCCCAGCACTTTAGGAGGCCATGGTGGGTGGATTACAAGGTCAAGAGACGGAGACCATGCTGGCCAACATTATGAAACCCCATCTCTACTAAAAAATACAAAAATTAGCTGGGCGTGGTGCCTTTAGTCCCAGCTACTCCGGAGGCTGAGACAGGAGAATCACCTGAACCCAGGAGGCAGAGGTTGCAGTGAGCTGAGATCATGCCACTGCACTCCAGCCTGGTGACAGAGTAAGACTCCATCTCAAATAAATAAATAAATAAAATATAAAAACTGAAGGCATTCTAGGTGCATTTAGTAGTATATACAGTGCTCTTCCCAGGCTGAAAGTGCCCTTATTAATTTAGAACATATTCATATGCTAAGGCTTTACAGAAGATCACATGAACTACACTTAGACCAGGGTTTCTCAACATCGGCACTATTGACATTGCAGATAATTATTTGTTGTGGGGGCTGTCCTGTGCATCATAGGATGTTTAATAGCATCCCTCTCCTCTAGATGCCAAAATCAACACTATTAGCCCATGATAACCAAAAATGTCTCCAGACATTGCCAAATGCCTCCTGAGGGACAAACCCTTCCGTCCTCACTCCCCTCCCCTCCAGCTGAAATCTAACCATTGATTTAGATTTAGACTTACAAATGCCCAGAACCCAATGAAATACAATCAAGTGAAAATTTGTTTTTCTATTTGTTCTGATTGTCCAGAAAAAAGGAAAGTCCTACCAAAGTGGATATTTTCTGAATAGTTTCAGGAGGCTGCCTTCTTTCCTTCTTTCCTTCTTTCCTTCCTTCCTTCCTCCCTTCCTCCCTCCCTCCCTTACTCCCTTTCTCTCTCTCTGTCTCTCTTTCTTTCAAGACAGAGTCTTGCTCTGTCGCCCAGGCTGGAGTGCAATGGCGCGATCTCAGCTCCCTGCAACCTCTGCCTCCCAGGTTCAAGCACTTCTCCTGCCTCAGCTTCCTGGGATTACAGGCACGTGCCACCATGCCCAACTAATTTTTTGTATTTTTAGTAGAAATGGGGTTTTGCCATGTTGGTCAGGGTGGTCTTGAACTCCTGACCTTGTGATTTGCCCACCTCGGCCTCCCAAAGTGCTGGGATTATAGGAAAGAGCCACCATGCCTGCCTGCATTCTTTCTTTATCTCTTTCTTTCTTTTTCTTTCTGTCTTCCTTCCTTTTTCTACCTTCCTTTCTTCCTTTCCTTTCTCTCTCTTTCTTGCTTTCTTTCTTTCTCTTTTTTTCTTTCCCTCCCTCCCTACCTCCTCCCTCCCTCCCCTTTCCTTCCTTCCTCTTTCTCTTTCCCTTCTTCCTTCCTTTCTTTCCTTTCTCTTTCTTCCTTTCTTTTCTTTCCTTCTTTGTTTCTTCCTTGCTTTTTTCTCTTTTCCTTTCTTCCTCCTTCCTTCTCTTCTCCTTCCTTCCTTCCTTTCTTCTGTCCTTCCTGCCTTCCCTTCCTCTCTTCCTCTCTCTCTCTTCCCTCCCTCCCTCCCTCCCTCCCTCCCTTCCTTCCTTCCTTCTTTCCTTTCTT